ACCCGCTGCGATATCCTAAAGATCTGATCACCACTCTCCACCTGCCGAGAGTTAAATGTGACATACCTGCTCAGAACAAAGTCAGAAGCCAATACCTGATAATCAAACACGCCTCTGAATCCCAAATGTGCTATCAGATCAAATCTCACATCCACGATGTGACCAAGTGCTGGGTAGCCAAACATCCGACGCAACCCAAAATCTGAAGCAGCTCTACCAGATCCAAAATCTCTACATGCAGCAGTCGGCAACCTATACATGAGACGGCCCAAACATGTCGTAGCCCGCACACCAATGCTAATGCTCGACATCAAACGCCAATCCTCCTCCAGAAAGGAACAGCTCCCCAAATCTGCCATCTCGCCTCGTTGCCTCAAAGTTTCCACACCAATGAAGTGTCTCCTATTGTCGTGATCTCGACATAAATGCAGAAATAGGTCCCTCTTGTACCTCCCTTTAACATCAGGCTGAAGTACCTTCACCTTTCTGCCAATATACTTCCTCCATTTGTTGCGGGCTTCTAGGACTTCACACCAAAGGGACTTGGTTGCAACCTACCAATGCCTAGAGCAATCCCCAACTGCGAAAACCACATACCTATTACCTCCCAATAATGCTCCCTTGGAAGGCTCCCGAATGCCTGAATGAACACCCCTTAGAAGACCCCTCGAATGATGGATAGAAGTGCCAAACTCCACCTCGGTCTTCTTGCTCATACCAATGTGTTCACAGGACTTCAAACTGCAGGCCATAGCACTCCTCAATAACCAATACACGACATTACTAATCAAATAACCCAGCATCAAACAACGCCACAGTCTAGCCGAATCTGATGAAGTCGTCATCTCTCTATCAATCGCCGTGCTTCCGAGCAAATAATACAAATTGCTCCTTCTGACGCCCTTCATCACAATCATGGATCCCAATGTGACCTTCAAACGTGCATCCACCAAGGTCACTTTATAGCCAGATGCCACCAAAGCTCCTAGTGAAATGATGTTCTTTGACAACTGCGGAACGAACCTCACTTCTTTCAACTCCCGCACCATCCTGTCACTCATCTTAATCCGAACGGTACCAATACCACCAATAGAGCATGCATGTCCATTACCCATGAGCACAACATCCTCTCTTTCCAACTTCTGAAAGCTGGAGAACCAATCCCTCCTAGGGCAAACGTGGTATGAAGCACCCGAATCCAACATCCACTCTGTAGAGTTGGCAACACAAACTGACGGTAGTGCAGACAACGAATAGCCCGAAGAATCCGAATCTGAATTGTCACCACTAGTCTTGACAACATTCACCTCTGAAGCTTGTACAGCTTTCCCCTTATTCTTCTCGGCTCGATCTAACTTTGGGAATTCAGCTTTCCAATGTCCATCCTCTTTACAAAAGGCACACTGATTCCTACGAATCCCACGATGTGCACCTCTAGACTGCGACCTCCTGCTTCGGTTTGGACCACGGCCATGAACTACTAATGCATCTCCCGATGCCTTCTCGGAGGACTCATCAACACTCTTCCTCAACTCATAATTCACCAACGCTAAGGTCACCTCATTGTAACTAACAATAGTTCTTCCATTAATCATAGTTAGGACAAAAGTACCGTAATCATCATCGGGTAACGAACACAAAAGTAGCATCGCCTTGTCTTCATCCTCAACCATGATATCCACATTAGCCATGTCTGAAAGTAGCTTCGTGAAGTTGTTAACATGCTCTCGAATGGAAACTCCCCTCTTCATCTTGAATTGGTAAAACATCTTCTTCAAGTGAAGCCGATTCTCAATGCTCTTCGTTAGATACTTCTCATTGAGTGTTTCCCACATTCTCTTCGCCGACGTTTCGTTCATCACGTCATAAATAAGATCTGGCGTCAAGCATGACCGAATAACTCCACACGCCCTACTATTCATCTTATTCCAAACCTTAGCTTTCATATCGGCAGGTTTCTCTTGTAACTCAAGAGTCTCCTCCAAATTCTGAGCGTCCAAGGCGTCCATCACCTGACACCTCCACAATCCGAAATTAATCTTGCCGTCGAACTTCGGAACATCAATCTTCATGTTATTGATGCTCAAACTATGTATCGTCTTCGTAAGAGACGATCCCGATGTGCTTGTTTCACCCATGTTGTCGATCTAATATTCAAATAAGAATCCTTCAGCGAATCCTTCAAACAAGCTCCCAAGTCCAACCCGGAGCTCTGATACCACTTGTTGTGCGCAGCGGAAATTTCGGCAGCACTTCGGCAGCACAACAAGAGAGATTAGATCGATAAGAATTCCCGTCTCACCAAGGAAACAAGAATCTGAAGCGGATATCTCAACCAAGTGAGATATCGGCTCTTCCTCTCATCAGTTCTAGGACTGACCTGTCGAGGGATCCTACAAGCTATTACAAATCACGACAAGAACACAACTTTTACGTGGTTCGGCAAATAGCCTACGTCCACGGGGCAAGGAGGGGGAGATCTACTAATAGAGGGAGAGATACAACTGGGTTTACAATCTCACAATCTAAACCCTCTCAAACAAACTCTCAAATCCCTCTTACAAATATTCTCTCAAACGGGGAGACACAAAACCCAAAAAAACAACTACAAAATGACTTTGTGCAGCCGCAAAAAACCCTGTAGCCGTTATCCTCAAGATCCGGTCATCTGCTTCAATTCGTAGCCGCAATCCAGTCCTCTGTCTCTCACGAATCAGCCCCGCTCACTTCTCTGTGTCTGCAGCAGCCGCTCCTTTTTCTTCCCCTCAATTTGCACACGAAACCCTAGGAGAAAATTTGCTATATATAGTTGGGTAATTGTCGGGTGGGCCTGCTCTCAAATCTCACGCGAAAACAAAAGCTCCGCTCATTCACGTGTTCACAACGTTCACGCGGTTTCACTTGGCCTTCACGTGGGTGGCCCCCACTCTGTCCGTCAGCGTTCACAGTTTGTTCTAATTTGGTTTGTCCTTAACACAGGATCTGGTTTTTATCTGCACTTTATTCATGTACATGCACTTGCTTGCTATGGGGGATTTTAACACAAGTTAATTTTCTTTCTTTTTCTTTGTTGAATATTGATTTCCCGATGTCGTTGGTCTTGAAATCCAAGGAATTTCAACATTTTTTCCGTCTGTCTTTTAACTTTAGTAGCAGAAGTCAAAAAGCATTTGGAGTTATAAACAAATCTAGAAAGACTAGTATTATCTACTTCACTAATTTTCCATTTGCACCTTCATTCACTGCATTGAATAAAGAAATTGAATGAGTCGTGCCTTCTTTCTTTTAACATGACACGGTCATTAATTTGAATTCAAAACCCTAAAAGGAGGGGACTCAGAATAATATGCTATTTGTAGGAGAAGGCCTTCATTTCCCTATATCTAGAATATCGAAGAAGCCCAAACTGCTAAACTAATTGATGTCTAATTGTAACTCCTTTTTTTTTAATGGCAGAATTGTGACTCGCTTTTGACAAGAATTAAAAGCAAATTAATTAGCATGGGTAGTACTTCGAGCTATATATAAAATTTATTTAGGGCTCTCCCCCCTGTACCTTAGAAGGGCATGCAAGGCTACAATTCTAAACCAAGACAATTTCACATCATTGAATAGTAAAAGAATACAAATTAGGCCGAGCACGTCTCATTTGTAGCAACTTAAGAATGTGTCATTCTCCTCATTAATTTGTTACATTGCCACTCTTAGATATCAGTTCGTAGCTTTTGGACATATACTTGTGATCAATTCTAAAAATCCTACTATAAAAATGGGACAAATTAAGTTTTACTAGTCCCTCTTAAATTAAGCAATTTTTTAGGAAGATGTGGTATATATAGGGTTAATAAGTTTTGAAAATAACAATAATTTTTAATATTAGTAGACACGTATTCTCACGTAAGATCGGAGCATGGGAAGTGCTAAGAAATTGTGGTCAATAATACCAATGAGACTAAGCGTACGTTCTTAATATATATATATATATATATATATATATATATGAATGACTCGGTTGTAGGTGACATCCAAGTTCTCTAATTGAGTAATGCGGTCATGGTTTGTCCCTTTATATAAGAAATAATAATGTAGTATATTATCATCACCTTAAGAAAAGCGATTATTACTCACTCACTCAAACATGCATCAACCCTTGCTAGCTAGCTATAGCAAACTAATCAATTGAAGTCTTCCAAGTTCACCAGATCGAGAGCCAAGATGCCGTGAATTCCGAAGTCCAATTCAAGTAACTCGATCCATTTAATTAATGCACACAATGTGATCACTAGAAATTACTCTTCAACATATATTGGTTGATTATTTGCGATTAGTTAATCAATATATTGGTTAAAAGTCAAAGCTCATGGAGGTGTTAGGTGTTGTTTGCCTCTTTCTTCGCGCAGATCCCTATCAAGTTCCAGTTAGCACCACTATCATGCAAGTACAAGGGATGCAAAGCATAACTCATTGGATGGAAATCTCACAGCACCTTCCTCCTCTTATTTCCTAATTTGAGCCACATACAAATGTATCAATAACTTATGAATGTTTGTAACTGTTAACTGATTAAAGAGTAAACATATCAACATCCGCTGAAGTTTGAATGACAATGACATTTGTAGGCACATTATTCCATATTTTGTGAGCCATAAAAATATGTGACATGCCCGCACATACCCGCGCACCTCGCACGAAATTTACGTACAAGTGCTTAAGGTGCATGGTTTTTAATTTGCATACCACCATTTCACTTCTAGACAAAGAATAAGCTCTTGAAAACAAAGTCAAGATGACCAAACATTTTTGAACTAGCTAATTTCCTTCGACCAACAAGCAAACCGCACCCATTTCACGGCCTTAATTGGCCCATTCTCACATGCCTCTCACGTGACCTCACTCCTATATATACCTTCCTTGAGCCTCAAGCCCTTGCATCATCACATTTTCGCTAAATTGAAGAAAATATACTCGACCTAGTAATTATCAGAGTTTAGAGAGAGATCATGGAGAGGCAACGTGCACCTAAGGTGGTGATCATCGGTGGAGGTATTAGCGGGCTGGCAGCCGCCAACGATCCGGTGGTCTTCGAGGCCACCAACTCAATTGGAGGAGTTTGGAAACACTGCTCATATCGGTCAACGAGGCTCCAAACCCCTCGACCAGATTATGAGTTCTCTGACTATCCATGGAAGAATCGGGAAGATCCTAGCTTTCCGACTCACAACGAGATAGTTGAGTACTTGCATGGCTATGCCACACACTTTAATTTGTGGAGACTCATACGGTTGGAGTCTAAAGTGACGGAGGTCAGGTTCCTTGGTGATCGGCAGAAGGCCGGATTCACTGAGCTGTGGGGAGAGGAGGGACGGGCTGTACCCAGTCAACCAATTTGGGAGATTGGGGTTGTGACCGGGACATTGGAGACCGTACAGGTTGCTAGCTAGTTTTACTTTGAACGTTGAAATTTGCTTAATTGAGGTCTGCGTTTGAATGCTATACACATAACGTTCGTTAGGGTTTTGCCTTGACCATTACAATTGATTTTCTTAAAGAAATGAATTTATCAAAATTTATTAATTAATTAGGAAAAATAAGATTTAATTTATTTGTTGCCTTTAATTAATAGAGTTCCTGATTCAATATATAAGTTAAATATTAAATCTTCTCTCTTCTAAACTTTAATTTATTAATTATATATATTTCCTTTTCATATCATTTTCTGTAGATAATCCATATTAAAGTGGCCATAGATTATATATGGATGAGAACTATATATAGAAAATCTTCCCCCTTTAGCAATATAATTGTAACATATGCGTTCAAATTAATATATACATGTATCAAATATAATAAATGTAATTGTGTAGTGCAAGAACCGCACACATCATTTATGATGCCAAAGATTTTTCAGGTTCTTTTATTTTATCATGTACTTATATATATTTCTTGTTGCGGCTAATTTTCAGTGGTACAAGTGTGATTTTGTGGTGATGTGCATCGGAAAATATGGTGATATAGCAAAGATGCCAGTCTTCCCTTATGGGAAGGGACCTGAAATATTTCAGGGTAAAGTGATGCATAGCATGGATTACTGTAAGCTCGATGAAAATTCAGCAAGTAAGTTGATGACAGGGAAGAAGGTTGTAGTCGTTGGCTATAAGAAATCAGCCATCGACTTAGCTCTCGAATGTGCAGAAGCTAACAAAGGTATATATACATCAAAATGTTCGAAAAATATTTCAGATTACTTTTGTTATTTTTCCAACTAATCATCCAGCTAGCATACCCTATTAGATCGCATATTAATTAACAGTTATAATCTATATATATTTGTAAAGGAATGAGAAAGTGAAAATTATATATAGCAGTATTTGTTGTTCAAGATTAAAGAACGATGGTGGTGGTAGCGATGGAAAAAATCATGATATGATAAAAATATTATAGTTTATCATGAAAAATAAAATCTTGATAATACTAATATTTATAACTATCATATTATGAGTGTAAATTAGTCTAAGAACGTGCGTGAAAATAATGAATGTATATACCTTGAACTGATGGTAATTACAACAACAACAATATATTACTCTCTTTCATGACTTGTCTAATTCTGATGTCAAAGGTACAAGCTTTTGATAGTTTTGAGTGATTGACTGTAAACACTGAAAATGAAAATGTAAAGGAGACAAATCAAAGAACTAATATGACCATCACAAAAGATAGACTATGGAATCTGACCTTTACATAAATATCCGAAGTAGAAGGTATAAAGTACGCCTAATAAACTGTCTGATCTTTTTTCGTACCTCTATCTTAAGGGGGGAAATTCAATTTCATGATCCAAGTCGAGAGAGTCAATTATTGTTGTTGTATTATTTATTTATTTATTTATTTATTTTGAACTGAAAAATAGGGTGAGATACCCTGTTCATATACGATATTATATAAGGATACTAAAAAGATGTCTGGTACAAAAACAAAACAAAACAGAAGAAACCGAGAGGGACGAACAAAGAAGAGAAGAAAATTGGTAAGGAGCGGACCTAGTTGTCACCTACTGAGCTAACTCAAAATAATGTCCTCACTCAAGGCCAAAAGAAAAGCACACGAGATAGAATAAAGTCTGATACATCCGGACACCAACACTGGAAAAAAAATCGATAACATCATAACCTTCAGCAAAAAAACCAAGAAAAAAACCAGGCAGAGAGAAAAACTGTCCGCATCAACTAACATCGGAGAGATTATCTCCATAAGCTTCAGCAGTATTATTTATTTATTATTATTGTAGCAAGAGAGTCAATTATTATTGTTCTAATATTATATATCCCTTTGAAAAGATTCTCATATTTTATGTGTTGACTTTTGTTTGGTGAGCTTAAACAATAAAATTGACCTCTGTCCTTATTAGTCAAATTCAAAGATATATATTGTTGAGGTCAAAAATATAATTAATTTGATTTTGAATTATTGTTTGTTGTTAGGGCCAGACGGGCAGCCTTGCACAATGGTGATAAGGACCTTGCATTGGACTGTCCCATCCTATTCTATATGGGGCCTCCCCTTCTTCTTGTTCTATTCAACTAGGTTCTCTCAATTCCTCCATCCAAGACCAAACCAAGGACTTATGAGATCTCTCACGTGCCACCTCTTAACACCAATGGTATGCACTTAGATTCTAATTTGCATATAATTTCTCAAAAAATCAAATTTTTTTTTTAAATCTTAGGCTACTTTTTCATAAGTTTTCTCATCCAAACTACTATGAATAACTCCTCAAATATAGATGATCTCCTAAATATATTTCATAAAAGAGAATCTATGTAAATAATAGCGTGATGGGGGTTAGGATATCCAATTTTGTACAAAAGAATTGAGGGGTTGCACGTTTTATACGAGATTTCATCATTTTTCCTCGACTTTTGAGGAAGTGTTTTTTTTAATAAAAGTTTGTGTTTTAATCACTTTTTTTGTTAGGCTTTATTTTTAAACCCGCCAATTTCCAAATTCCCTATTAAATCCAAATATTTATAACTTATGTGTTTACAGTATAAACATTCTAATTTTCTTTCTGTGTATACGTAGATGTATGGTTCAAATTAATTTGTCTATGATTAACATGCACTATGCTTATACAGAAGAGAGGTGTGTCAAAGTTTATAGAATCATATCTAGCGTGGAAGCTCCCACTTGATAAATACGGATTGAGGCCTGATCATCCTTTTGATGAGGACTATGCTTCATGTCAAATGGCAATATTACCTGATAATTTCTTCACCGAGGCTGATCAAGGAAGGATTAGGTTTGAGAAATCATCGAAATGGTGGTTTTGGGAGAAGGGAGTGGTTTTGGATGATGGCACCAAGTTGGAGGCTGACGTGGTGTTCTTGGCTACTGGATTTGATGGGAAGAAGAAGCTCAAATCAGTGCTCCCTGAACCATTTTGTGGCTTGTTGGAGGATTTAAATGGTGTCATGCCACTTTATAGGTACATAAAATTCATAATAATTTATAGATGAGTGCTTAGATACATTGTATTAATGTAAACTAGAAACAAATGAAAATTCATAACATGACTAATTCCTATATGTTGGCACGCATATAATCACAAGACATGCATGCAAGAAAATCAATTGAAAACTTAAGTCTGACTCGTGTTCGTTATGAGCTATGTAGAACTTTCTTTATGTATTTATGTATACGCTTGTATGTGTTGTGTGAAAACAATGGATATGAATTAACAACTCATTTTACTAAATGAGCTATTAAGAGATAGATACGCAATGAGGCTCATTCTACTATTCATCAGATGGGTGGGTCTCGCATTGTTATCTCTCGGGAGCTCATATAACAAAATGAGCTACCACCTCATATTGATCAAACCCTATACACACACAAACAAGCACATCCTAGACAAAGTTCATCAATTGACAACTCTCTAGAGAAAATTCTAGTTACTAGATGCATAATTTGGTAGAATGGATATTTAAATCTCATGAACCCTAACCCGAAATCTTGCTTTCAAATTCTTATTGCATCATATAGAGTTTATATACAAATTAAATACAACTAGGTTTTCATTCATAAGATCTCAAAACCTTAATCCTAGAAAACATTCAACGTATCTATCTTGTAGGGGCACAATCCACCCTCTAATCCCACACATGGCGTTCGTGGGCTACATCGAGAGTGTGTCAAACCTCCACTCTGCAGAGCTCCGCTCCAAATGGCTGGCAAGGCTACTCGAGGAGAAATTCAAGCTGCCAAGTGTTGAGGACATGTACGGCCAAGCAAATAGAGAGATCGAGGTCATGAAACAAACAACTCGCTTTTATCGTCGCCATTGTATCTCGACCTTCAGCATCAACCACAGCGATGAGATCTGCGAGGAGATGGGATGGGAGTCTTGGAGGAAGAATAACTGGATCTCTGAAGCCTTCAGCCCTTACAACAACCAGGACTACAAAGAGTAATACGGCTAGTGACAGTGATATTAATTAGTATGGGATTTGTTTATTCCTAATAATTAATAATTAAGATATTTTATTATCTGGAAAAAAAAGTACGTAGTTTGCTGAAATAATTTAATTAAGGTTAGGCATATGTAACAGTTAAGAAGTCAAACTTATTGTTAAGGTTGAACTGAAAGGCTGGGATGTGTCAACTATATGTGGCCTCACTGCATGTAGTTTTGATTGTCAACTAGATCTTGTGGTCTATAAGTCTTAATAATTCTTTGTGTCAAAGTGTACTTGGGGTTTGTTTATGTATTATGAAGCATACATTAATATAAAGAGGGTCGCTGTTTGTGATGCCTTCAGGTTTGAAGATTGTTCATATTATTCTTGCATAGGTTGTAGCTGGGATTTGTTTATGACTCTCATGCATTGAGATATTGTTAGTTTTTGGGGGTGGATACCTACCTCCGCCGGCGAGGAGCTCCGACGAGCTCGAGGATGACGCAGGCGAAGCTGGAGGCGAGGTTCAGGCGAGCCTCGGGAGCTCAGACAAGCTCGAGCTCTGCGTTCGAACGCCCCCACTTGACCTCTGCGTTTTGGCGGTTCGAACCCTGCGTCTCAGCACTCCGACCCTTGCGTCGGGCTTGTGCGCTGGTGACAGGCTGTCGCCAGCCCATTGTATTCGCCTATAAAAGCCCCCTTTCCCGATGCCCTAGTGTGTGTGTGTGAGCTCTTTTTCTTCCCTCCGATTTTTTCTCTGGCGGCGGACAAAAACGCAGCTGCGTTTCCTTCTTTCTCCAGCGCTTGGGATTTGAGAATCTTGAGGGGAGATTTAAGAAGAGAGAGAGAGAGATTAATTAGGGCTTTTATTCCCTTTGAGTGTGTGAGAGCTCTTTTTCTTCCCTCCGATTTTTTCTCTGGCGGCGGACAAAAACGCAGCTGCGTTTCCTTCTTTCTCCAGCGCTTGGGATTTGAGAATCTTGAGGTGAGATTTAAGAAGAGAGAGAGAGAGAGAGAAATTAATTAGGGCTTTTATTCATTTAAAAGGGGGTATTCTCAAAAGAAACTTGAAAGGGATTATTCCCTTTAATTATTAACACTGTAGGTACAGTGTTCATTTGAGAGATCTCATATTTGATCTGCTCTTAAATTATAATTTCTTGTTTGATTAATAAGAAATTTACTGTGTGGCTCCCAAGGACGTAGGCAGTTGTCGAACCTCGTAAATCTTGGTGTATTTTTTCTATTCTGCGTTTCTGTTGCATTAGGGATTTCGGCGTTAGATTCCCAACAACTGGTATCAGAGCGTGAAACGATCTAGAGGAAGTCAGATTCAAGTGGGAGCCATGGCCGCAGATGAAGAAAAAATGAGACTTGAAAAATTTGATGGAACAGATTTCGGATTCTGAAAAATACAGATAGAAGATTATCTGTATCAGAAAAATCTGTATCAACCACTATCGGGGAAGAAGCCAGATTCTATGAAGGCAGATGAGTGGAACCTTCTAGATAGACAAGCCCTCGGAGTTATCAGATTGACGCTGACTCGCAATGTTGCGTTCAACATAGCAAATGAGAAGACCACGACAGGTCTTATGGTAGCTCTCTCAAATATGTATGAGAAGCCATCAGCCGCGAACAAAGTTCATTTGATACGGCGGTTATTCAATCTGAAAAATGACGGAAGGCGCGTCAGTAGCACAACACATCAATGAACTTAATACGGTTACAACCCAATTGAGTTTAGTTGAAATTGAGTTTGATGAAGAAGTTTGGGCGTTGATATTGTTGTCTTCCCTACCAGAGAGTTGGAACGCTACAGTCACAGCTGTGAGTAGCTCGTCGGGAAACAACAAGTTGAAGTTCGACGACGTTCGTGATTTGGTTCTCAGTGAGGAGATCCGACGGAGAGAGACCGGTGAAGCTACAACCTCTTCAGTATTGCATATAGAGTTAAGAGGTAGAAATTCAACCAGAGGAAACGGATGGGGCAAATCAAACTTCATAGGTAGATCAAAGGACAGGAGGTCCAAGTCAAGGAATCCAAGCAACAGCTCGAAGGCTATCGAGTGTTGGAATTGTGGAAAGACCGGGCATTACAAGAATCAGTGCAAGAGTGCACAGAAGGAGAAGGAGGCGAAGGCAGAGGTGAATGTCACCTCCACTTCAGGAGGAGACGACGCATTGATATGCTCTTTGGAGAGCAAGGAGGAATCTTGGGTGTTAGATTCAGGAGCGTCGTTCCATGCTACCTCTCAGAAAGAATTCTTCGAGAAGTATACCCCCGGAAATCTTGGATACGTATATATTGGTGATGATCAACCATGTGCTATTGTCGTCAAAGGAGTGGTAAAAATTAAGTTGAACGGGTCAGTATGGGAGCTGAAGGATGTCAGGTATATTCCCGACCTGAGAAAGAATTTAATATCCATAGACCAGTTGGCTGGCGAAGGATATACCACGACCTTCCATGGAGATGATTGAAAGATCTCAAAGGGCGCAATGACGATTGCCCGAGGCAGGAAGACTGGTACCCTATATATGACAGCAGGTGCACGTTGTTTGATCTCAGTTGCAGCAGGCAATGAAACTTCAAAGTTGTGGCACCAGAGACTCGGTCATATGAGTGAGAAGGGGATGAAAATCATACACATAAAGGGAAAACTCCCAGGACTGCAGTCAGTGGAGATGGATATGTGTGAAGAATGCATACTCGGAAAGCAGAGGAGAGTCAGCTTTCAGACAAGTGGCAGAATCCCCAAGAAAGAGAAAATAGAGCTCGTTCACTCAGACGTGTGGGGACCAACAACCACCGCGTCCATTGGTGGAAAACACTACTTCGTGACTTTTATCGATGATCACTCTCGGAAAGTGTAGGTCTGCTTTTTGAAGCATAAGTCAGAAGTATTTGAGGCTTTCAGGAGATAGAAAGCTATGGTCGAGAATGAAACCGGTCTGAGAATAAAGAAGCTCAGGACCGACAATGGCGGTGAGTATGAAGACACCGGATTCAAGAAGTTCTGCTATGAGCACGGGATCAGAATGGAGAGAACCGTGCCCGGCACGCCTTAGCAAAATGGTGTAGCTGAGCGGATGAACCGAACATTGACAGAGAGATCCAGAAGCATTCGAGTACAGTCAGGCCTACCGAAGCAGTTCTGGGCAGAAGCGGTCAACACAGCAGCTTACTTGATCAACCGAGGTCCATCGGTTCCAATGGAACACAGAATACCATAGGATGTATGGTGCGGAAAGGAGGTAAAACTCTCACATCTTAAAGTTTTTGGTTGTGTAGCTTACGTGCATATTAGTGATCAAGGCAGGAATAAGCTTGATCCCAAGTCAAAGAAATGCACTTTCATCGGCTATGGTGAAGATGAGTTCGGCTACCGCATTTGGAACAACGAAAACAAGAAAGTGATCCGCGGCAGAGATGTGATATTCAACGAGAAGGTGATGTACAAGGACATGCACAAGATAGATGACTCAGAGATCGAGTCAATATTTATGGATGCAGATGATGTCCCGAGTAACCTCTCGGAAGAACCCAATGCAGAGGGTCCTCAGCAAGAAGAGCCTGCTGGACAAGATGATGCGCAGGAGCCCGACACACCAGCTCCGATATTAAGAAGATCTTCTCGTCCTCCTGTACCCAACAGGAGATATATGAACTATCTGTTGCTGACAAATGGTGGGGAGCCTGAAAGCTTTGATGAAGCTTGTCAGTGTGGAGATGCGAGCAAGTGGGAGCTTGCAATGAAAGATGAGATGAAGTCTCTCATATCAAACCAGACATAGGAACTAGCTGAGTTACCCACGGGTAAGAAGGCACTCCATAACAAATGGGTGTACCGGCTGAAAGAGGAGCAGGATGGTTCCAAAAGATATAAAGCCTGGCTAGTTGTCAAAAGTTTCCAGCAGAAGGAAGGAATTGACTACACCGATATTTTCGCTCCCGTGGTGAAGCTAAATACTATCAGGACCGTGATGAGTATTGTAGCAATTGAAGATCTTCATCTCGAGCAGTTAGACATGAAGACGGCGTTTCTTCACGGAGATCTAGAAGAGGAGATATACATGCACCAGTCAGAAGGTTTCTCAGAAGAAAAGAAGAAGAACCTGGTGTGCAGACTCAAGAAGAGCTTGTATGGCCTGAAACAAGCCCCAAGATAGTGGTACAAGAAGTTTGACGGCTTCATGCACAAGGAAGGTTTCCAGAAGTGCAATGCCGACCACTGTTGCTACTTCAAAAGATATCAGTCCAGTTATATCATCCTACTGATGTATGTTGATGATATGTTGGTTGCAGGAGCAGATATGAAGGATATCAAGAGTTTGAAGCAACAGCTATCAAAGGAGTTTGACATGAAGGACTTGGGTCCAGCGAAGAAGATCCTTGGAATGCAAATCACGAGAGATAAGAAGAGAGGTCTCTTGCAGTTATCTCAGACGGAGTACATCAACCGTGTTTTGCAGAGATTCAACATGGGCGACGCCAAGCCTGTGAGCACGCCCTTGGCCAGCCATTTTCGTCTATCGAATTATCAGTCTCCTCAGTCAGAAGAAGAGAAAGAGAGTATGGCTCAGGTTCCTTACGCCTCAGCTATCGGAAGTTTGATGTACGCAATGGTCTGTACGAGACCAGATATTGGCCATGCAGTGGGAGTGGTCAGCCGGTTTATGTCGAATCCAGGAAAAGCTCATTGGGAAGCGGTCAAGTGGATTCTGAGATATCTACGAGGCACCACACAGAAGTGTTTGCACTTTGGTAAGGGAGAGGTAGAAGTGCAAGGGTACGTAGATGCAGACTTCGGCGGTGAAGTTGATCATCGAAGAAGCACCACCGGCTATGTATTCACCGTTGGAACTACAGCTGTTAGTTGGATGTCACAGGTACAGAAGATCGTTACCTTATCCACTACAGAAGCTGAGTATGTTGCAGTGACTGAAGCCAGTAAAGAGATGATATGGCTTCAGGGTTTGTTAACAGAGCTGGGATTCAAACAGGAGAAGAATGTTTTGCACAGTGATAGCCAGAGTGCGATACACTTGGCGAAGAATTCAGCATTTCATTCTAGAACGAAGCATATTGCGCTTCGGTACCACTTCATCAGATCCCTGTTGGAAGATGACGTGTTAAAACTGGAAAAGATTCCAGGAAGTAAGAATCCAGCAGATATGTTAACAAAGACGGTGACTGTTCAGAAACTGGAGTTGTGCGCAACTTCAGTTGGCCTTCATGCATAGATGATGAGGGCGGAGCCACACAGGAGAGGAGCTTGATGAGATAGCCTGTTGACGTCGGTTTGGTCTCCAAGTGGGAGATTGTTAGTT